GCCATCCACTTATGGTATTTCTGTTATAGCAGCACTAGATAACTAAGACAACTTCTGACAGCTCGGTGTGGACATTTAGAGAACAACAGGGAAGCAAGTCCAGGGGAAAAAAATGTGGCTACTGAGAAAAAAAAAACCCTTATGCCAGCAAAACCCAAGAGATACATATAAATAAGCCTATTCCAAAGTTTTAAGTGAGGCAGGAGTAAAAACTCTCAGATCACTAAGAAACTGACAGAAGAATTTTTTTTTTTTTTTTGGTGAAAATATACATAGCCAAAGATACACCACCCATTTCAAAAATTTCTACATGCACAGTTCGGTGACATCGATTACGATCTTCCAGTTGTACTGCTATTCTCACTTTAGATGAAGGTTTACAGAACAAAACAGTTTTTCATTAAACAGTTAGTACCCATGTTGCCCTGTGACAATGGTTAACAACCCCACTACATGTCAACACTGTCCTTACTCAACCTTGGGTTCCCTATCACCAGCTTTCCTGTCCCCTTCTGCCTTCTAGTCCTTGTCCCTGGACTGCTGTGCCCCATTAGTCCCATTTTGTTATATGGGGCTGTCCAATTCCCGGCTGAATGGTGAACCTCGGAAGGGACTTCACCACTGAGCTAGAAGGGGTCTGGGGGCCATACTCTCCGGGTTTCTCCAGTCTCTTTCAGGCCAGTAAATCTGGTCTTTTTTTGGGTGTGTTAGAATTTTGTTCTACATCCTTCTTCAGCTCTGTCTAGAACCCTCTGTTGTGATCCCGGTCAGAGCAGTCAGTGGTGGTAGCCAGGCACCATCTAGCTGTACTGGACTCAGTCTGGTGGAGGCCTTGGTAGCTGTGGTCGATTAGTCCTTTGGACTAATCTTTTCCTCGTATTCTGCTCTCTTCATTCTCCCTTGTTCCGGAAAGGGTGAGACCAGTGGACTATCTTAGATGGCTGCTCACAGGCTTTTAAGACCCCAGATGCTACTCACCAAGGTAGAATGTAGAACATTGTCTTTATAAACTGTGTTATGCCAATTGGGCTAGATGTTCCCCGAGACCATGGTCCCCACAGCCCTCCACCCAGCAATTCAGTCTGACAGAAGAACTTTTAAAAGAAGTTTACAGTGTAATAAGAATGACGGGGCGTGGGTGAGAGGAGTAGGGGAGGACCACTATTGAAGGAGAAAAGGGAAAATGCTGAGCCACATAGGAGAGGAAGTATAACACAAACGTTCAAGGCTTTCACAAAAATGCCAATACTAAGTAAGTCAACGGAAAGCCACTTCTTAGGTCCCAGTGTCATAAACATCTAAAAATGTCCACTATCACCTTGAGCCTTCTCTGAGTGCCAGATGTGAGCATGTCCCACCCTGCATCGCTCTGTCCCTGCCCTGCAATGGGGGGTCCCCACAGGGAGCACAGGCTCGCATCCTGGGCTCTGCACTTCGGAACTATGAAACCTGATCAAGTTGATCTTAATCATTTCCTTGTATGCAAACAGTAACTACCTTCCAGGATTGTGAGGAAGACCAAACTAGAGGGGCTAAGATCTACAAGGTACCTAGACCAGGCCCCAGCGCAGATAAGTTTGAATAAAGAAATCATCCTTTTTTTTTTTTTGGTTTGTTTCTGTATGGCATTAATGGCTAACTGAAATTGCCTCCTTCATTTGCTCACTTTTCTTGTCTGTACCGCTAGGAGAACATCAGCTCTGGACGAGCCATCTTGTCTGTCTGGGTGACCACCATCTCCCCAGCTCCTGGAACAGAGCTGTCACATGGTAGGCAGTTGCTCAAGAAATGCTGAATGCACCAATGAGCAAATTCCTCCTAAAGCGAAAGTGAAGCCCAACATCCAAGAAACTATGAGAAGTCCACCTGAGGGAGGCACATCTGAATTTGAGGCATGGAAGTTTGCCACTAGGCAAGACAAGACAGAGGATTGCTGGGCCCTCCAGCTGGGTGCTCATCCCGGTAGAGCCATGAGACTAAGGCCCCAGTGAGTTGGTGTGCTCAGTGAGAGAATGCTTTTGATGGGCCAGTTCTCATGGGTTGCTGTGGGAAGTGTAGCTAAAACTGTCAAACGGCCTGGGTCTCTTGCATCAAAGAAAGAGAATAATTAGTTTTAAGTTGGGCCTAATACAAGTCCTTTCAGAGGAAATTCCAGAACTTCATGGAGGACTCAGAGCAAGACACTGTCATTTTTTAAGCCAGGTGAATGAAGCATGGTAATCAATACTTTTCATAATTTATTCAACTACATACAAAGCAATCCTACCAAAAAACAAAATGAAAATCAATACCCGACCTACTGAAACCCTAAGAAGATGCTGGACAAGTCACTCCAACAAGCCCTGCCCTTCTCTGGAAAGCTCTCCTGTAGGAAGGTCAGGCATAGCCACCAATGACCTATTAAAAACAGAAAGGAAATAGACATTTGAAGTGTACATTTCTATATGGATGGTCCCTAGTTACCTGGACCAACTTAGATCCTAAAATTATTCTCAGTTCTATAATTCTAAAATTCCAACTGGTCAGGCATCACCTGGTAAGAGATCTATTGGGATGGGAGTAAGAGGTAGTGAGAGGGGATGGGAAGAGAGAGGAAGGGAGAAATAAAAGATAGTTCTGCTTTCTGCTATGTTGGGCCACCTCCAAAACATTTATCTATATCCAAGTTACCTTTTAAAAGTTCAGGTGCTATTTATGTAGCACTGGACAACCAGCTGAGGTTAAGACGGGTTTCACACATTTGACATGGCTGAAAAAGGGAGGGGGGAGTGTTTCTGAATGAAGAAAAAGAAGTGGTTTTGCATCTGTGGTGGAAGGGAGAGACGGAGAGATGAAGACGACAGGCAGTGTCTGTCTTGGCTGCAGGTCTCTAGCAACACCTGCACCCCAAGGAAAGAAGCCGAACAGAGAAGCTGGAAGAGCTGTTCCCATGGGAGACCCATAAGAAAGTGGCACACCAGCAAACGACAAGGAACAACGCAGAGGGGGTGGGACAGCACGCTGGGTCCTAGCAGGGCAGCAAGGATGACAGCCAGGCATGGCTCCAGTCAGGCCATCAGTGTCCTCACAGCAGGCACCACTAACCATGGCAGAGGGCCATGCCTTCAAGCCTGAGATGCCTTCTGGGGGCCCCAAAGTAACCCTCAGAAAGGTTTGCAGAGGACGTTACACAAGAGGGTGCTAGGAGTCAAGGTAGCTGAGCTCACAGCAGAGCCCTCTCACATGCATATTTAACTCATGTGAATGGCAACAAAGCGGGGAGGGGGAGTGGAAGAAGAGAAGATGTGAACAAATAAAGAGGTAGGTAAGGCCTTGGGACATCACCTTGGTGGGCACCTGCCTGTGTATGAGCCTGGGGCGGGCAGGAGCTGTGAACACTTGCTCCCAACCTCCTCTCTACTCTCCATTCTCTTGTGCCTCTTGTTGTGTAAACACGTCGCTACACTGTGAGGTCGGCATTTAAAGTACCATAGAATTATATTACAAATCTTTCCTCTCTGTGATGTACTGGCCATTACCACATACATTCCACACACACAGACACATTACCACACAGGGCTGTGTACACAAAGTCACGTGAACTCTACCTCATGGGCCATATAAAGGATTTTCAAAGGTTACACTGGCAACATGCTTTTCACTCTACATACACATGGACTTCAGAACCAGTCCCTTGGGGAAGGTGTTATTCTACTGTATTCCTCTTTTTAATGTGAATTTACTGGATCCTGGGCTGGTAAGGCCTAGGGAAACTGAAGTTATACATACTATGTGAACATACTTTAGCTACTACCTTAAGTTTAGCTGACCAGACTTTTTGTAAGTGTGATGGTTAAGGCTGTGTGTCAACTTGGCTGGGCAGTGATTCTCAGTGGTTTGGCTGTATGTAATGATGCAGTTTGGCAGTTATGTAATGATGTAGTCATCCTTCACGATGTGATCTGAGGTGATCAGCCAACCAGTTGTAAGGGAAGTTTCCTCAGGGGTGTGGCCTGCATCCAATACACATACAGACATTATGGCAAAGCTTGCTTGCTTGCTCTGGATCCTGTATCTACCTCGTCATCCTCTGACCTCTGGTTCTTGGGACTTGAACCAGTGGCTTGCCATACTGCCTGCCAATCTTGGGATTCATTGGCCTCCGCAGTCTGTGAGCCAGCAGCTTGCCATCAATCTTGGGTCTGCCAGCCCATGCCGCTATGTGAGTCAGGAGAAGCCTCCAGCCTGACACCTGACCCACGGACTTGGGACTTGTCAGCCTCTACGTAACCACATGAGCCATTTCCTTGAGATAAATCTCAATCTCTCTCTCTCTATATATATATACATATATGCTTCACTGCTTTTGCTTCTCTAGAGAATCCAGCCTTAGACAGTAGGGAAGGCTGAAAGCAGATCTATTGTTCAGGAAAAATCTAGAATTCACAAAGGTAATGTTGGCATATTCCATTGAAAACCCAAAGATTCGGTAATCTAAAACTAGGTCCTACGCATGCAGTGACTTTGCTCAGCACACCTGTAAAGGGCCATGAAGGGGAACACAGCATCCAAGGGAAGCTCTACCTCAGAGTAAGAACAGAGGCCTGCTGTCTTCCACTTGGAAAGACATCTGCACACCCACTAGAAGAAACCTAACAGGCAGGAAGGAGGGCAGAAAGCAAAGCAACCACAAGAAGCATATTCTTGGGGCAAAAAAAAAGAATTCAGTAGAAAAATTAAAAACTATGTCACTCAAGTCCTGAAGCCAGATTCCAAAACCACCACCCTCGACACGTCACGTCATATGTTCCTTCCCTGGCAGAGGATCATTCAGTAACAGACTCAGATGGCCCAACTCCTGAAAATGTATAAGACTGCCTTGCTAAATAAAGTTAATGCTCTCTAACTAGCTAATTAAGTCCCCAGTGGACGGCAACCTCTACCACCAGCCACATGTGAGAACAGAGCCAAAGCACCACCCAGTCAAGAGCAACTCTTGCCACCCATCGGGGGCATGTTACCTGCTTCCCTTTCATGATGTGCTTGGGCACTGGCACCTTGACCTCCAGGTCCATGTAGTCTTGCGACCAGATGTAGTTCTCACGGACAGCACCATTGTAACTGTCAGGGTTTTTCTGAAACTGCTCCTGTCGCCTGGGAAAGAGTAAGAGACTTAAATTGCTAACCCATCAAAACACACAGGAGAGGAGCACCACAATCAGCCCAAGTACACACCATTTTTAAGTCCATTTGTAAGAAGGAATCAAAGTTTGAAAATTCACAAAATTATCTAAATCTTATTTGCTTTTGTATCTGGAAACTCCCTCTCTCTTTATGGGTGATTTCTTTTCTAATCTTCCCTACACAGGTCTCCAAGGAAATCACAGGGAGAAAGGGAAAGCTTTAGAGAAGAAACTTGAGTGCAGCATCCTCCTGTTCAGAAAAAGAATCTGCAACCACATGCAAAGGTATAGCCTGATCCTCCCAGTCTTCACAAAGCTTGGGAATCAGGCCTGTTAATTAACCACAGTGCCCTTGTTAATAACATCCTAGGGCTTATAGGTGCTCGGTCTCTTCTAGACTGCCAGGCAGTCCCTCTCTTAAAAACTAAACAAAACGTCAGCCTGAAGCTGCTGAACTTCAGTCCTAATCCAACCCCTAGCCTCTATCTTCTCCAATAAAATCCACAGGATTGAAAAGAAACTGTTTGTGTCATTATTAAAATGTAAGTAACATGTTTAGTGAGACAGCCTAAAAACACCCAAATCAACCAAATCCCATTGTCTACGCCTATTACACATGTAACACGCAATCTAGAAACACCACACAGATACCAATGGGCCTGGCCAAGAAGATGATGCTAAAAAATAAAATATTCACTATAAAACTTAACAATATTAATAATAATGTAAACACTGTATAAAAATAAGCTTAGACTCATATTCCACTATATGAGTTTAAGATGAAGATTAAAGACAAAAGCTTAACCGTGGAGAAGGCAACACCTATGAACACAAAGCACTACAACAGAAGTGCAGCTAAGTCATCTCTCACCAGGCACCTCAAGAGACTAGCAGAAGAAATCTGGCAGGTAGAGAGCCACACAGACATGCAAACAACACATGCATTATGATCCCATTTATATACAAACTGAACATAGAAAAGGAGCTGGGAAGGGGTGAACCTTACTAGCCCCTCACTGCCAGTCAAAAGGTTGGCAGTTCGAATCCATCAGTCGCTCCTTGGAAACCCTATGGGGGCAGTTCTACCCTGTCCTACAGAATCACTAGCAGTCGGAATCGACCCGACCGCAATGGGTTTCTCTTATTTTTTTGGAACCAGTCAAAGAAGGGGACTGGGAATGGTGTTTTGACAAGAATGTATTTACATACTCCTGGTCTACCTTGCAAGAAGCCCTGGTGGAGCAGTGGTTAAGGGCTTGGCCGTTAACTAGAAGGTCAGCAGTATGAACCCACCAGCAGCTTCATGGGAGAAAGATGTAGCAGTCTGCTTCCGTAAAGATTACAACCTTAGAAATCCTATGGCGCAGTTCTACTCTGTCCTACAGGGTCGCTATGAGTCAGAATCGACTCAGTGGCAATGGGTTGGGTCTACCTTGCACACCTAATATGCATGAGGGCCTCCATTACAGCCCAAGTTGTCTAAGCTTTAACCACTTCCTATCCAAAGGAAACAGGAAAAAAAGGGGGGGGGGGAACAGTGACAGTTAAGTGGTGGCTAAAAGTATTTCATCCAGGGATGGTATTCAAAAGTCACCACTGAACATCAGCTGAGCACAGGCACTGGCCAATCAGAATGGATGCAAGCGTTAAACAGCCCACACAGCCAGCCAGTGGCCACTGGGGAAGGTCAGGTCAATGTGGGAGAAACTCTGATTATATACAGGGACATCAAGAGCCACAGCAGGCTCAATGCCTGGGTTCAGTAACATGAGAAAACAGGGTGGGGTAAAAGAAACGAAAATCAATACAGTCATGTGTGGCTTCACATCCACAGTATATTCTGTGAAATAGGACATTATGCGATTTGGACACTGTGCGAACACCATATTACGTACAGGCAGTCCCTTATACACTCAGCCCCACCCTCTGTTCCGCCTGCCTGAGGGGCAGGAACAGGCTGGCTGGCAGCCCCCATCGCTGCTGCCTGCCCACTGGACAAAGCCAGAGAGCTGTATCCACTGGGTAAAAAGAGGCTGGCCTTGCCGGTGCACAGCTGTGGCAAGTGGGGGGGAGGGTCTGTGTACAGCCGGGCACAGGGCAGGGGACACACGGGGGCATGGAAAGGTGGCTGCGGGGACCGAGTAGGGAGCTCGTGTGCAGGTGCCGAGAACGCACTGGCAGTGGTGGCCCTGGATGCTGCTTTGCTGTTAGTGTGGCCCACTTTCTGATCCTGTGCGCTGCTGCTGCCGCCCAGAGCCAGGAGCCCACGAGTGCCCCAGGCCTGACCAGCACCTGCGGCAGGAACAGAGGAGCCGCAGCAGGAGCCAGGAGGGAACTGAGGTGCTGGGGGACTTGGGATGCACGCTGAAGCCCCAGCGCTCGTTCACTCTGGGGGCCTGGGTTTTTTAAATCATTAGGGGGAAATAACAGACAAAAGGAGAGCGACTTACCCTTAAAAAAAAAAAGAAAAAATTTATGGGACCATGGACATATATGCGGTCAGACGTGGCTCAAAAGGACGCTATGCGGCGCATACCTGTATCTTTTAAACGGAGCAGCAAAAAAGTCAGCATGACACAGACGCAACCAAAAAAAGTATTTTCGAAGATTGTTTAGTGATGTAGGGGGAAACTTTCAATACACTATAAAACTGTAAAGAGGACAGTCAACTTTTATGTAGGGTGTAAGTTCAGTTTTCCAAGAAGAAGTATATGTACACATGTACATAAACACACACGCACATTTGTGTATACATTAAAAAAGACTGCAAGGATATACATTAAATCTTAGTGGTTACCTCTAGGGGGTAAAATAACAAGTAATTTGATTTTCTTCTTTGTACCTTTCGGTATTATCCAAATTCCCTACAACATGCAGATATTTTTATAATCAAGAAAAAAGTGGTTCCCTTTAAAAATGTACATAGAGAAGAAAGTTAGAATTACTTGTTAGCCCTCCCTAAAGGCCTCATGTCACATACCTGTCAGCCACACCCTCAGCACTGGCCGAGAACCACCTCCTTTCCCCCAGGAGCTCCCACACTGACTCCCTAACCTCATGGGGTGTGGAGGAGCAGTTTCATTGTCAGCAGAGCCAGCCCACGGCTCACAGGTCACGGACTTGCCCAGGGTCACACGTTTACACAGGGACATGCCCCAGCCAGGATCCCCACCCCATGCTCTTTCTAGTACAGAATCCTCCCCACTTTAGCACCTACTGTAGTGCAAAAATCATGTCTGCACAGATATGCTCAAATATTCAGAGTATTTCCCAAACACTCCAGTAACAGTTAATAGTAGTTACTTCTCAGGAGGGAAACCAAATGGCTTGAGGGTCGGGAGAAAGAGACTTATTTTTCACTGTGTAGGGTTTTGTATCCTGTGCATATATTACCTACTTGAAAATAATCAAAGTTACAAAAACACATACATAAAAATATCCCCCTTCCCCCACAGATGTAAAATGGTACAACCACTGTGGAAAACAAGTTTGGCCGTTCCTCAGAAAGTTGAACATAGAACTACCATATGATCCAGTAATTCCAATCCTAGGTATATACCCAGAAGAAATGAAAGCAGGAACGCAAACAAGAAACCTATAAACCAATGTTCATTGCAGCACTTTTCACAATAGCCAAAAGGTGGAGAAAAGTCAAGTAGCCATTAAGGGAAGAATGGATAAATAAAATGTGGTATACACACACAATGGGAATATTACTCAGTCATAAAAAGAAATGAAGTCCTGATGCATGCCACTCACTACATGAATGAACCCTGAAAACATTATGTGGAGTGAAATAAGTCAATCACAAAAGATCAAATATTGTATGACCTCACTTATATGAAACAGGTAAATGTACAGAAACCAAAAATTACTAATGGTTACTAGGGGTAGGAAGGAGAGGGAAAAGGACAATTTTTGCTTAGGGAGTACTGAGTTTATGTTAATGATGGTAGAATGATTTGGAAAAGGATAGCGAGAATAGCTGTACAGCTTGAAGAATGTAATCAATGTTACTGAATTGTACGCGTACAAACAGTTGACACGGCATATGTTTTGTTATGTATATTTTCATCACAATAAAATATAAATAAATGAATAAATAAATAACTTCCCTGGCCAAAACAAACACAGGCAAATCAAGACCAACACGGCCCTGGCACTTGATAGGCCAAACACAGGGTTGGACCAGAGATCAGGGGACCACCATGAAGACCCACCCAAAAGGGAGGGAAGAAGAAGCAGCTATTTGAAGACAGAAAGAGCACAGGGGCCAGTACAGTACCTAGGTAGATAGCTATTTCTAATAATACAACAATCGTGGAGCCAATATAATCTAGTTCTTAAAAAGTACCAAGTGTCTGCATGGGCCCTAGGGCCAGAACAACCACAGACAACAAAGCCTGGGATGCACGACACTGGGGTTGGCCCTCCTCAAGGGGCAGAGTGCCACTCTCAAACTGGGCACGCGGAGCTCTAGCTAGGACCTCTGCCGCCCTCCACCTGCCTCCTGAATGCCCACATCAAGGCAGAAGGAACTCCCCTCCACCAGACAGGACAGTCTCTGCCCAGCCAGAACCATGAGGATGAGCAGTGGGGGCCCGGAGAGTGGGGTCCATCCACGGCTATCCAGCTCCCTGTTCACCCTGCATATACCCTGCATCCTCTACCAATGGAGGCTGGAGAATCACTCCAAAAGACGCCTAAAATGGCTCCCATAACAGCCCTAGAGAGTTGTTGGGTGCTTTTTTTAATTCTCTGAATCCACACTCACTTTAAATAAAGTTGATTATTTCCAGTTGACAGTATGTAAAAATAAACTTCCTTCATTTACTTCTCGGCTCCTGTCATTTGCAGGTGGCTCTGAGAGCCCCCACCTGCGTCAATCAGTCCAGCAAAGCCATCCAGGCTGGAAAGCCATGGGCTACCACTACCACTGCAGGCTGGGGACACAGAGGTGGGGAGGTGCCT